AAGTGTTGTAACATATAATAAAATACACTAACAGTTAAAATTGGAACAATAAGATTTAGAGACTTTCAGCATCAAGCAGTTTTCTATCAAATACCAGTGGAATAATTCTAAATTCATTGCATAATACTGAGTCAAAAGAAACAATCATAAAACACAGTTTTCTGCAAAGACCTGAATTGAAACAATTATGAGGTTCAGTATGACAAAATTCTGCTAAAGGATTTCAAGGAGAAATTCAGAGGTTATTATTCTTTGTCTGTCAGTCAAATTTTGACCCAAGATGTGTATTCATCCTTTCATGCAATGAAAGTTTAAGATCTTCAAGTTATAGAGTATATCTGCCATTAAAGATACCAAGGTGAAAATGAAGCTTAATTATAGTTGAATGTCTCATAGAATAAACAGTTGTTGTTTAGTTGATTCGAACTCATGGCAACCCCACGTGTGTTAGAGTAGAATGGACTCCACAGGACTTCTAATCGTTGATTATTTTGGAAGTAGATTACCTGGACTTTCTTCTGATGTGCCTCTGGGTGGACTCAAACCTCCAACTTTTAAGTTAACATTCAACTATGTTAACCAGTTGTACCAATAGGGAATTGAACCCAAGTCTCTTTTATGGACACCAGCTGCTCCTTGGAAGGAAGATGAGGCAATCTACTTCCGCAGTGATACTACCTCAGAAACCCAAGGAGGGGTCACTATGAGTCGGGTCTGACTCGACAGCACGTAACAACAACAACAACTCTTTTATGGACAATATTTTGTTCTATTGAACATAGGGTGGCTGTGAATCTGAGCTGACTTAACAGTACCTAAAAATAACTCTTACATAAAAGAGAAAAATTCGACCACTGAACCACCAATGTCCCCTTGTCCTCCTGTATATTTCTGTAAATACTCATATCCAGGACCATTAATTTTGAATGATGAAGATATTGACATGGTTACCTCTTTATGTGGGTTATTAGAAAGTTTAGAGTCAAATCTGAAGTCATTGCTTGCAAGTATATCTGACTTCATAGATATATTTTGTACTGATTTCACTCTTTGGTCAATTTGATGCCTTATTATGTTTTTTTTTTTTTTTTCTATTTGAATTCATCTATTTATTTATTTATTTCCATTTTTCTTGCTATAGTGTATTACTCTTTGTAAATCATGTATAGAGACATAATTCTATATAAGGAACCCTTCAAAAGTATGCATGTTCTGTAAATGGTGTCTCACAGTGCTTAAATCAGGCATCTCAAGTCTAGTTCTCTCAAAGTGGACATGAAACACTAAGGATTATCTAACAGTATAACACAGAATCAGTGGTTTCTACAGAGTGGGTAATTTCCTTTTCCCCATTCTACAAGTTGTTGTCTTCCTGCCAAAAATCAGAATGTTTTACATAATCCACACTGCCACTGTAATGTAAAGCAGTGCAAGGAGACAGAGCCTTCTCCAAGTTTCCGTCTGGCACCGATTTGTGCAGAAGCAAATTAGTAACAGAGATCATTTCAGCTGCAGAAATACAATTTAAGGAGACCCTGTTGTTAAGGTGTAGGCAGTGGCAAACAAAGAGACAGGCCTTCTGCAATTAGTTAAAAAGTCCAACGAACTCACCCTTGTTCATTTGTGGATGAGTACGGGAAACATGACGTGAATGCTTCATAATATGGATGGTCAAGGAGAGATCTGGGCAGATCAGGCAGAGATAGTTTATTCCCATGGTGTGGAGGAATTGGAACTCAAAACAGACCTTCACCACATACAATTTGTTTCTTGACGTGCAGTCTGTCATTCTTGACTAACCTTCCTGTTGGAATTACTTAGTCATGATCCTCAGCAAGCATTTGCTGTCAAAATTCTTCTGTCCAGAGTGGCCAGATCAGGGAAGCCCTTAAAGAATTATGTTTTCTACCAGATATATTTAAAGTTTGCTTACATCCATAACTGTTTACCATAGTTCTAAGAATGAAAAATAATTGTGTTCAACACATAGTGCATCTGTTTTCATCCTCTTTTCCCTTCTCTTATCTCTAGCTTTTTTATTGGGTTGATCCTGATTTACATCTCATGAGTCTTATCCTTACAAACAGAAGTGTGCTGTGACTGTCCCCTTAGAGCAGATGTCGGCACTGTGAGAAAACTGATGTCTACGGTTGAGGTTTTTGTTATATGGTTTGTGATGTGTTGCACAGAACAATCTATTACAAATATAGCTCCACTGATAGTCCATAGAATTCTACCATATGGTTCTACTGGAGAAAAAGCAGAGTTGTAAGGACTATTGTTAATTTCAGATTCTTACAAGGATCAGAAGGCTGGGCACAGGCCAAAATTGCCTTAAATTTTAATATCTTATTACATATTTAAAAATACATTTATTAAATTTTATAGGAAAAACATTTAGGCTTCATTTCTTTAAAATGTGTGTTCTTAATTTATAGGAAAAGCTCTCTGTTTGATATGCTCTAAGGAAATAAAACTCACATTGTTTCAATGTGATTAT